GGCTTTCCAAAAGAAATCCAGTTGTTGTGAAATTTATACAAATGCTTACATACAATGAAAATGAAAATCAAATTAACGGGAAGCTTTTTAAAGTTGCTGTAGCAGTTGATATTATTTATGGGGCAAGACATACAAAATATGTATCAAAGTAAATATTTTTCATTATTTTATTGATTTAATATTAACCTCTATCAAAAAGGTCCACTGGAGGGTTAGTAATTCAAAAAAAATGTTAGGACGTATTCCAATGGCAAACACTTGTTCCTGTGTGTTGATTCTATGTGAAAATTTTGAATTGTCTGAGGGTGATAAAAAAGCTTTTGAAGAAAGTTTGGTGATTGCATGTGAAAATAATGAAGGATTTTCAGAATCTAGCATAATAAAAATCAAGGAATGAATCCATCAACACCTCAAAATCAAAACCATCAACCTTTATGTACAAGCAATAATGATAATTTACAATCCAATTTTTCTCATCAACAACAACTACCTAATACATTTGACAATTCACAATCATTGGCTAATTCTAATTTATGTTTTCAACAATCATGCAATATCTTTGATAATCCACAATATAATGTGTCTCATCAACAATTTTTTCCAAATGTTAATTTAAATTTTTCACAACAACCATCCAACAACTTTGTTGAACCACAGTTTAATGTTACTCAACCTTTAGATTACAACTCATTCTCTAGGCTCCAAAATTACAATACTTACAGTTATAATCCTTTAAACCTAACTAATAACCGTCAATTCAATCAGTTTATTAATCAAACTTCAGACAACTTTAACAACAATAAAAAAAGAAAAAAGAATAACAATTAAAATAAATTTATAAGATATGGTCAGTGTTGAAAATTCGATGCGGGGAATGCGGGGGTGTAACATTACACACCAATCAAATTTTTAATTTTTGGAGATAGTTTCTAAATTTGTACTAGTTACACAACGAAATTTCAACACTGGATATGGTTGTTGGCTATTTTTTAAAATTGGAAACTGTTTATTTTAAAATTACTATTTTTAGAGTGATAATTCAATTTTTTTTTTTTTTATATATATATAAAGTTTAAAATTTTTTTTTCTGATTCATTTCATTAAAATTTTAGTTCAATGCAATAAATTTAGTTAACCATTTAAGTCTTACAAATTTAAAATAAAATAAAATATAAACTAAACATATCTTCTATTCAATATTTCTTTAACTTTAGCTATTACATCTAAATAAACATTTATTCCATAATTATTATCTTCTCTATCTATACCCACTGAATTTAATAATTCATGATATTCATTTTGGTTTAAAACATTTCTAGGATCTTCAACAACCACAGCAGCAGCATTATCATCTGAATTTGATGGTATAGGCCCTTCCCAGTCAATCCTATACAGTTCATTGACATTAAAATCTTCCATTCCTCTATATCCACATTCAATCATTCAAAATGTAAATAATTGTAATGGAGTTGAATGACTATTCCACCCATCTACAAATAATTTAAGGCTTTTATTAATACGATTCAAATAAGTTAAATGCAAACAAAATAAATACACATTATTATCAATATCTAATTCAAAATTTTCTTCTAAATAT